ACATGGAGGGAGTAGGGGAAAGGAAAATGGGGTCAAAACTCAGCAAGAGCTGCTTGGAGGCAGAGCAGGAGGGGATGTGGGCTTCAGGCTCCTTCCTGCAAGGCAGGGGAACTCGGGCATAAGATGGGTTCAGGCAGAAGTGGACCTGATCAGCTGGGAGACATGAGGCTGCAAGGCTGCATGGAGGGAACAGGTGAAAAGAACATGGGGTGAAAACTCAGCAAGACCTGCTTGGAGGCAGAGCAGGAGGGGAGGTGGGTTTCGGGGTACTTCCTGCAAGGAAATTCCCTCACCTCTCAAACTCCAATCAACACACTTGTCCCACAGCTTCCTTCAGGCCCATGCATGCATGTTTCACAGCACAAGCCTCCAGGAGACTCTTCCTGGAAGGGAATATACAGAGTTGGTTGCAAGGAGCTACTCCCTCATTCCCATACAGCCTCCAGCCCTCCCTGGTGAGTGAATGCCCATTGTGGTGTCAGCTGCAGACTTGCTGAGGGTAACCTCAGCATCCTGAGAGTGATACAGATATTGAATGGCAATTGGACTGCATTTGGATCCTTGTTTTACACCACTAATTAGCATCCTTCAACTAGACTTTGCAGCACTCATCATCTGCCTTGGGGCTGAGCCTTTCCATCAGTTTTCAGTCCACCCTACCCTCTGCTCTTTCAGCTCAGACATCAACAGTTTGTCTGTGATGATCTTAGGGGAGACACTGTCAGAGGCCTTCCTGAAGTGCAGGCAGGCAAGATGCATGCTTTCCCTTTGTCTACCAGAACAATTGTTTCATCATAGAAGGTTGTTGTCTTGGCCATGCATGGTCTCCCCTTGCTGAATTCCTGCTGACTACTCCTCATGATTGGTTTGTCCTCCAGGTGCCTGGAAATGCTTTCCCAGATGAACTGCTCCCTCACCTTCCAAGCGATGGAGGTGATCTGAGTGGCCTCTGCTTCCCCAGGTCCTCCTTCTAGGCATTCAGGAAGAGCAGTGACGTTTGCTTCCCTCCCGTCTTTGGGCCCTTCTCCCACTCTCCTTGACCCATCGAGGATGATGGAGAGCGGCCTCGCAATGACATCTGCCAGCTCCTTCAGCACTCACTTGGGGTTGCCTCCTAGCAGGGCCCACGGCCTTCTCTCTGCTCAGTTGGTAAAGCATTGCCCAGTCAGACCCTCCTTCACCAAGGGGGCACCTTCCTTGTTGCAGCCCTTCTTCCTGCCTTCTATGACATGGCATTCCTTAAGGTTGTTTTTGTTAGTAGATACCTATCCAAGGAAGGCATTTGGTACTTTTGTTTCTTCTCTCTTCTGGACAGTTGTGGTGGTTTAACTCACGTGGAAGCTTTTCTTGGCAGCTGCGGTGATTTTACTAAGCAGGACAGAGAGCTCCATCACAACCACTCTCTCACTCCCCCTCCAGAAAGGGTAAGGGGGATAAAATAGAATGAGAATGGTTGAAGGCTTGTGATAAGAACAGGGACATCACTCAAGCTTTATTGTCACAGGCAAAATGAACCCAGCATCAGGAGATAAATGGAAATTGTTACCTATTATTAATAAGATGAAGAAGGGAGAAGAAGACAAACAAAGAAACAAATACATATATATATGTTCCCCCAAATCCACAGTCTTCCACTTCCTCTGCTCCAGTGGGGGGTCCCTGCCCCGGGATGCCGTCCTTCCAGGCTGATCCTGCATGGGATTACCACAGGCAGCAGCTCTTGAAGACCTGCTCCATTACAGGTCTCCCATGGGCAGCAGCTCCCCCCAGACTCCTGCTCCTGCGTGGGCTCCTCTCCACGGGCTGCAGCTCTGGCCCGGGGCCTGCACAAGTCTTCTTCCAACAGAGTTTCTCCCCAATTACTTCGAGGAAGGAAATTGAGAGAGAAGCATGGGGGAGCTCAGGTGCCTTCAGGACGAAGCCTCTGCCTTTCCTGGGTGTTGTGTGGTCACATGAGGGTCAAAGTGTGGGTGCAGATGGCTCCCACAGTGCTGTGCTGGCAGCACTATGGCCCCAGCTGAGACTCCCTGAGAGTTCTTCATAAGCTGATTCACCAACGGGATGAAGGAGAAATCTGCCCACAGCCTTGGCAGCTGCCCCAGAGCTCTGAAGTCACTTTGGCCTTGGTGCAGGATTCCCCTGATGCCATCATTTGTCTAGACATTGAAGAGAAGCAGACTGATGTGGTCAGACGAGGGCAAATCCGAGTGGGCACAAGGGGCAGGAGCTCTTTACAGGGACAATGTTGCCGCTGAGATACGAGTAAAACTAGCATGTGCTGCAGTGTGTGAGAGGACAGGAAAAACAGTGGGGGCTCAACGAAAGCAGCGGATGTAGCAGGTTCTTAGGCAAGGCCCCCACTGATGAGAGCCTCTGGCTGTGGGCCAGGCTCAGGCGGCCTCAGCCCACAGCACAGGTCCCAGCTGAACTGCAAGCTGCTGTCCCACCGTCCCCAGCTCAGAGCAAAGCAGAAACTCGAAGCAGACGCTGCTCCCCAAAAGCAGCACCCCAAAAGATGCTGGGGCAGGCGCCATGGGCAAGGCTGTCTCCTTCTGGCCCTGCCGTCCTGCTGCTGGTGCTCTGTGAGTTGGGGCATTGCTGGGTGTGGGGGCTGAGGGCTGGAGGGCTGCTGCTGGGGGCAGAAAAGGCAGAGGGGAGGATGGGGACAGTATGTGTGGGGCAGTGGTGCAGCACCGTGGGGCAGAGTTTGTTTGTTGAAGGCAGGATGGGGATGGCTTCCTCCAGGTATGATACAGATCTGAGCAAGGGGAACACTTCTGCAGCACTATAAACTGTCTGGAGTGTTGCTCTGAGGCTCTAGGACTGCTGAGTTTTTTAAGGAGATACGGGATTTACCTGGAACAAGAAATCCACAAAAAAAGGGATTGGGATTGACATTGTTCAAGAGGTTATTGAAGAGATAGAGCATGAGAACACGCAGATGTAATGATGCCTGCTTAGCAGTGAGGATTTGGTCAGGGGGGATATGGGAGTAGGGTGATATGGTTGAGACTTGTCACTGCTCCTCTCAGCAAATCCCTCTCTGTCCCCAGGTACAGCTGCCAGCATGACCTGCCAGAACATCTGCAGCTCCCCAGGTACTCGTGAGTCCTTCCCTCCCAGACCCTGCGCACTTGGAAGCCCAACCACTGTGAGCTGTGCCCTATGGCAGCCCTTCACTGCTGTGTCTCCTGCAGGGGATCTCCCAGCTCCTGCTCTCCAAATGAACTCAAGTTCTGCTCAGCCAGGTACCACTGTTGTGCTCCAGTGTATTCTCCATGTGGTGTCACATGCAAGACGAATCATCATCTGCAAGGATGGGAAGGAGGTGTACAGCCAGAAAGCCCATGAAGGGCAGCTGAGCTACTCCCTGGTCCTGAACATCACGTCAAGTACTGCAGGAATATATACCTGTGGGTACCAGGAGTGGAATGAGATGAAACACAAGAGGAGCTCTGCCCTCAATGCTGGCCAAATCCTGGATGTCCCCGGTGAGACATGTCTCCGGGGCTGGAGGGGAGAGAAGGGACGGAGGCACTTGCCACCACATGGCTGTGCTGAGGCTGGAGCTGGGTGCTGCAGCAGGCTCTGGGGTGCTTCCCTCATGGGAGTGTTCCCTCTCCTTAGAGGCAGCCCCTAGAGAGAAAACTGCTCTCAAGGGATCCCTGTGTCCCTGCAGCATCACCTCTGCTGCAGAGATGGGGCTGTGCAGGGCCCATTCACAGAGGAAGGGCTGGGGATGTGGATGAATGCTGGATGAGGAAGGGATGCTCCAAGGTCTGCCCTGTACATTGATGAGCCTATGGAAGGGCAACTGGGATGACTGTAATGAGTTGGGTAAGGACACAGCGGTGAGGACATGGCAAGGACCCAGCAGCAGGGACATGGGCACAAGCGTGTGGGTGCCCCAGCTCTCACTCCCTCTAAACAAAACCCTCTGTGCCCCAAGGTGCAGGTGCTGGCGTGACCACCCAGGACATCGGCAGCTCCCCAGGTGAGGTTGAGCGTGGGGATGGGTGACTGAAGAGAAGTGTGTGGGGTGGTGATGGCAAGGGAGAGGGAATTTGTTCACTGTGTGTGAGCTCCTGGGAAGGAATCACTTCCCTGCATGGAACACAAAGCATTTTGTGTCCAGTTCTGGGATTCCCTGTACAAGAGGGGCATAGAACTACTGGAGAGAGTCCAGAGGAGGGTTGCAAAGATGATCAGAGGACCGGAGCCAAGAGCACTGAGCCTGCTGTGTGTGGCTGGACTCTAACTCAGGTTCTCCCTCCAGATGCCAACGTGGATGAGATGGGCAGAGTGAAGGTGAGTTCAGCCCAAGCCCAGCCTTCCAGGCTGAGCGTGCACGTGATGGTTGTGAGAGGGCAGGCTGTTGGAGAGCAAATGGAAGCCAAAAGTGCATCCGAATGCAGGAGCCTGGGAGCTTTGCGTGGCTGTGCTCTGGCTGAATCTCCCTCCTTCCATGCTCCCAGCATTTTCCCATGGTGGGCACCGCCAGAGCAAGGCCACTCCTTGTGTTTTGCAGCTCTCTCAATCCAACTGCTCTCAACACCCACTGCATGCCTAAAGCTGAGCAAGGGAGAGGCGATGCTGCTGGTTCTCTGAGAGGCAGAGAGCATTGGGGAAAGCCGTGCTGATCTGCGAGCTCTGAATAAAGCCACCCCAAACAGGAAGGAGCTGGTGTAGTTCTTCTCGGCAAGGTCTGTCTGCAAGGCTCTTCACATCCCTTCAGATCGATACCACCAGCCCTTTGTGTATCGGTGTCTGTCTGTCTGCTCCGTCACATTTCTGATATGGGTGCATGAGACGGAGGTGATTTCAGGAACACAAAGTCAGAGATGTGTATTTGTCATCAAAGCAAAACCACATCTGCAGTGCACACACACTATTGACACACACATGCGAGGACATCCCTGCAGTGATATCTGCCCATGTAGGTCAAAAATGGGCATCTCCGTGGGTGGGTAGAATAACATTCCCATGACATTATAATGCAATTTAGGTTTACACGACATCCACTGAGCACAGCAAGATGTTTTCTTTTATTCAGAAAAAGTCAATACACTCACAGTAAGATTTGGTATAGCTCATATATTTTAGAAGTATTTATGTCTTGTAGATGGAGGTATGAGTCCTATATCGTCTTGGCTAGACACTCACAGCCCTTCCCTGTGACAAAAAAAAAACAAAAGAAACAAAGAAGACCAAAGTGCACCCCCAGCCCCATGTTATGGCTGCACAAGCCCTCTTGAACAGAGCAAAGGTATCTGTGGGCAAGGCTCCTGTGCCCTTGCCCTGTGGCAGCTCTATCGGGTCTGGGTGCGGGTCACCGTGGCATACGTCGTGGTGTCACTCATGTGCTGCACAGGACGAGGCTTTAGGGAGAAATGAAACCCTGTTACTTCAGCTGCTGACTGTGAGCCCTGCACAATGTGCGGGCACCAGGCTGCAGGAGTGCAGAAAGGAGCTGTGCACAGCTGTGCCATGACTCACCCTGTTCCGTCGAACATGGGCGATGGTGGAGTCTGTGGGGGCAAAAAAAACACACCATTAGCCATTGCTGCCTGTTGGTGGAGGGCTGAAACTCACACTGACCATGGGCAGCAGCTGCCTGTGGTCAGCTCTCAAAGCCCGGCCACATTTACTCTCCCATCACCCTGAACTGGGATGAAAATTAAGCAGCAGCGATGGAGCAGAGATGCTGAGGTTTTGGTGTATTTCCAGCTTTCTGTGGAATCTCCTCTCTTTGCACAGCCAGCACACCTTGCGAGCTGCTCTGTGCAAGCGTGGGTAAACAAGGTTGTACTGCAACTTGAGTGAGGTGCAAGTAGGGTGGGGATATATCTATAGCCTGTCACCCAACCACAACATCCTCCCTTGGCTGCTGCCTATGGTTTCAGACCAAGCTCTAAAATGTTTTCCCCACCAGGGCAAGGAGCCACATCTTTCATTGCTGCGCGGTGCTTTTTGCTTCTCTGAGCAGAAATTCCTCTGACAGGAAACTGAAGAAAGGACAAAAGCAGAGGCTGGAGCAGGGGAAATGCAGCCTGGGGCTGGAGCTGGTGTGGAAGGACCCCCATAAGCAAATGGGCTTTGTCCCTGGGAGCACTGGGATGCTGCCATGTCCCTTGTACAGCCAGCAGCCACACTCTGCATGCAAGGAAGAAGCAGGACATGAGGTGCTGGAGAGAAACCTGGCCTTGATGAACGGGCAGGGATTTTGTATGTCCCAGTGGGAAATGAAGTGTTGGGATTGCACGGGGAATGTACAAGCAAGGGTGACCATGGTCAGAGGGGCATGTGGCTTCCCCCAAGGGAGGAGGTAGTACACACACTGGACTTCGCCGTTGCTGGTGTCTTCCATCTGTGGTCTGCCAACGTGCTGATGCCTGGAGAGGAATGGAATCATTCTGGAGTGTATATTTGTGGACAAGAGGCACTGTGAGAAACTCTTTTGGGTGGTGCTTTCCTACATGAGGTATGGAGCTGAAATCCACGCCTTGACAAACCCCGTCCTCCATGCCCCAGCACAGGGAATGCAGCCACACACACACAGAGAATGCTGCCCCTGGCCAAGCAGCACCCCACGACCTCAATATGCCCCCAACTACCTCCCCCATACCCCACAGTCAGCAGCCCTTGGTGCTCACCTTGGGCATCTCCCTCTGCAGGCACCTGGAAGAAGAACAGGGGCTGAGGTGCGCATGCCAAGGTGCTGCCCAGCCCTGGCTCCCATCTCGGGGCTGGGGGATGAAGGCTGAAGCTCCCCAGCTCCCTCAGCAGCCTCCCCAGCTGAGCTGCCCACAGCCATCGCCGCCAGGCACCGTCTGGCCCAGCCGCACACACCCAGGGTTCCCCCCCCACCTTTCCTAGCGCACCAGTCCCGCAGCAGGACCCCCATGTTCTCAGCCTTTCCCTCCTTCCCCCTCTCCCTCACCTTTCCTGATGGCAAACCAGCTGCCTGCAGACAGGAGGACGAGGCCGACGGCCGCCACTGCCAGCACCGTGCCTGTGGGGAGTGTGTGTGGGATGGGGCATGTGGAGCTGGGGGACAGAGGGTGTGAGGGCAGCGGGGTGTGATGGGGAGAGGTAGGGAGCAGGACATGCCCATGTAAACGGCACACCCTCATGCTTGTCCTCACCTTTGGAGCTCTGGATATCAGTGGTGGTCTCACCAGCACCTGCACCTTGGGGCAAAAGGGGTTTTTCTTAGTGGGGCCAAGACCTGGCACACCGCCACACCCGAGTCCTTTTTCTTCCAGTTTGTTCTTGCTGAGCAGGCATCTCAAACCAGGACCACTGTGCTCTCCCTTCTGGAACCATCCCACACTGTTGCTGATGTACAGGCTATAGCCTGTCTCATGACAATCACACCACTTCCCCTGCCATAGGCTCAGCAATGTACAGAGTAGATCTTGGAACATGCCAGGCTGAACCCAGCGTCCATCAACATCCCCAGCTCTTGCTCTCTTTGCATGGGAACTGCACAGCCCCATGCCTCAGCTGAGCTGCTGCTGCAGGGACGGGGACAGCCCTGGAGAGCAGCTTTCTCTCTGTAGGGGCTGCCTCTGAAGAGAGGGAACACTCCTGAGGGGGAACCATCCCAGAGCCATGCCCTGCCTGCTGCAGCACACAGCACCAGCCCCAGCAGTTTTCTGAAAACTTCTACCCTCACCACCCTAAGGCCATGTCTCACCTGCCACAGACAAGGTCTGGGGAGCACTGAGAGCAGAGTTCCTCACCCAGTTTTTCTTGTTCCTCTGCTGGTACCCACACGTGTACGTCCCAGCACTTCTGGAGGTGATGTTCAGGACCAGAGCGTAGATGACCTTTCCCTGCTGGGCTTTCAGGCTGAACTCCTCCAGCCCATTCTTGCAGAAGACAACTCGTGTAGGAGGAAACTGCTCATCAAGGATACATTGAAGCAGCACTGTTTCCCCCTCCTTGGCACTGGAAGCATTGAGGTACAGGACTGGAGTCTGGTCGTTACCTGGAGAGAAGGCAGAGGGATTCCCCAGGCAAGCATTAGTGATGGCCAGGTGGCAAAACCAACTGCATGTCAAGGCTGGAAAAATCTGCTCTCCTGGGGCTTCACAGGGGGAACTGCGAGGGAATAATCCCCTTCTCTATTCCCATCTCTTTCCCCAGGACACGTTCATTTTCGTGACCCACCTCCATGCACCTGAAATCCTGGAGAGCTGCAGATGTCCTGGGTGGTCACGCCAGTACCTGCAGCATGGGGCAGAGAGAGCTTTGCTTAGAGGGGTCATGGCCTCCTGCTTTCCCCCAAACAACTCTGTCCCACAGTGCTGCACGCCTGCCCCACACACGCTATCCCCAACTTCCCCTGTGCCCACCACGGATCTATCCTGCCCCCAGCAGCAGCCCTCTAGCCCTCAGCCCCCACACCCAGCAATGCCCCAACTCACAGAGCACCAGCAGCAGGACGGCAGGGCCAGAAGGAGACAGCCTTGCCCATGGCGCCTGCCCTAGCATCTTTTTGGGCGCTGCTTTTGGGGAGCAGTGTCTGCTTCGAGTTTCTGCTTTGCTCTGAGCTGGGGACGGTGGGACAGAGGCTTGTAGCGCAGCTGGGAGCTGCCCTGTGGGCTTTCTGTGGCCGCCTGAGCCTTGCCCACAGCCAGAGGCTCTCATCAATGAGTAACCTGCCTCAGCCCCTGCTACATCCGCTGCTTTTGTTGAGCTCCCGCTGTTATTTCTGTCCTCTCACACACTGCAACTCTTGCTGTTTTTACCTGTATCTCAAGGGCAGTATTCTTCCTACATGGCCTCCTCCCCTTTTCCCTTTGCCAGATTTCTCTCGTAATTTTGCAGCTTTCCAATAATCTAGGAAGCATGTACAGCTTCTCCCAAATACATTTCTGTCCCTTCCACTGCTGCATCCCCTGCCGATGCTCAGCCTCTGTACTCTTGTTGCTTGTGCAATGCTGTGCAGCCTGAGCCCCTCTGCCAGCCAGTGGTACTATTATCATCACTGTTGTTATTATTATTGTTGTAATAAATGGCTCAGTCTTCAAAATAGGACTATAATCAAAGTTTACAATTTATTAAAGGAATAGAGGTAAGCAAAGAGCGCTGGGTGCACCGGCAGCCTCTGCTCCACCAAGGTGCACACCAGTTACATCAAGCAGCTGATTTTTATGCTCTAGGCTAATACATATTCATAACCACTTCTGAAAAACCAGGGTTATTATAATTAGTTTCCGGAATCCAAACCCTCCAACCGGAGCATGCGTATCAGTCTCCGGTGGTCCCTCTGGGAGTCTGTCATGCTAAAGGGTCATAGTCTTCCTCCCTCTTGTCCTTCTCCTTTGTCCTACTTGGCTGGATGTCAGAGACTTGTACAGAGTCCCCTGCAAGCTTTGTCTTTTAGTCGTTCTTCAGCTTTCCCCTTCTCCTTAATCTCCTGGCCAGATATGAGAGACTTGCATAGAGTCCCATGCAATAGTCATAATAGTTAGCAGTTATTCTGAACACCCCCCGAGATATTAGAGACTTCAAGGAAAAGCCTACAAATACATTTCCCTTCAAGCTCTCTGCTGACACGAATTGCTGGAGCATTCCTTTGCAAGATGCAAGAACGATATACATTAACCACTCTTGGTTAATGTATATTAACCAAGTCATTAACCAGACTTACAAGGGTATGTAAGACAGAAGGTCACATTCATCATACCATGCGGCCCTAGCATTGTTCCATATTGACACGAATCAGATGAACATCTCTGCGGGGGCACCGCCCCTCTGCTACAAGCCCTGCTACAAGCCCATTAGCCTGCGGATATAGCTTGAAGCTCTCGAAAAGAGCCCTGCTAATTGCTGTCCCAGAACCCTCTGGACCCTGTGAGATAAACCTTTCCCAAGTATTCCTCTCAGGCCTGCTGTCTTATAACACCAGCCATTACCAAACAACCCAAAGTTGGGCCTGTAGCACAGGTCAGGGAGCCAAGCATTTATGGACCAGATGCTTCTATTCCATCCAATGTCACCACCCCAGAATGGATGGAGGGAAGAGAAAGGGACTTGTGCTCCAGACTCCTTCACCAACCGTCCCAAGGCCTTGAAAGCTTTCTTCATTCCCCTCAGACTACAGGATGCAGCTTCCTCCACAGCTGTCTGCAATATCGTCAGTAGATAGTAGTATGTGAAGCAGAGCAGGCTGATGAGTGTCCTGGTGATATCTCTGATCCAGGCTCTGATAGACCGCAGACTTCCCTGGGAATGAAGGGAATGCTCCGTGTCCTCATGGCCAGTCCCCAGTCAGTTTGGGTGCTCTCCTTTCAGTGCTCCTTGGACCCTGTCTGTGCCAGGTGAGACACGACCCTTCATCAGGGCTGTGGGGTTAGTGGGATGTGGG